CAAAACAAACCTGGCTCTGAGATTACGAATAGAGAACACTGTTTATCTCTGAGCAAGACAATGACATTCAGCCACTAGGTGAGCAGATGTCATCAAGGCCAAACTCCACTCATCTCTGCGGCTTCTGCCTAATTACACCAGTTCACAGCCTTACCTGCTCTGCCGACGGGGCTGCTACTGGGGAGTCCCCAGCAGAGATTTTTCACCTGGAGACCACGCTAAGCAACACCCTTCGTCTGCCTCAAGTTTAAAGTGTAAACGAAAGAGCCACATGCTAACCTGACAAGCTCAGGGGAGGCCTGCATGGAAGTCTTGCAAACTCAGAGACTTAAAATAACCACAAAAGATGGTCTGAAAATTAAATATTTAATCTACAAACAGGTTTTAGTGGGTAGTCACGTCCTAGACAAAGACCAACTTAGATCTTCTTTTACTGAGCCCCGTAGCCTTTCCACCTTTAAGATAACGTATCTGTGAGATGTTTGGTTAACTTCCCTTTTTCTGGAACCCCTGGGGCACAACCAAATGTGGTGGGCACCAGGACTGATGCCTCAGATTCCTTCGTTATCGTGTTAATTGTTCCTCGCCCACCTAAGTTTGTGTCCATCATTTTACTTTTTATCCAATCCCAGAGGTTTCCCACGCTTTGCTTTATCCCACCCACCTCTCCTTAATCAGTCACCAATGCATTTCATGTAACCCACCTATGTCCCTCCTTTGATGGCAATGTATAAATAGAAAGGTAACCCTCATTCTTCGGAGCATTATCTCAATTTATTGAGGTTCTGCTTCCCGGAATATGTAGATAGTTTGGCTCAAATAAACACTAAAATTCTTTACAGGTTTCAATGTTTTTTTTTTTTGTTTTTTTTTCCGTTAAAAAAAGGCATTCTAGTCTAGACTCACCCAAGTTGTCCTTGGAATCACCAGAAAACCCACCAAGGAGAGAGAAGAGGAGGACTGCCAGGAATGGTGGGCGGCTGTGTGTTCCAGTGGCAGCGGCCCACGGTCTCGGCGACCAACACGGGTCAACCGCACCGTCTGCTCTGGCGTGGCTGTGGAAGGGTGAGCCGTTTACCCCTCCAAATGGGCCTCTCTGGGATGCAGATCACGCCAGCCCAGTTCATTTTAAGACCCAGCAGAGGTGCCAGGAGCTCAAAATACCTAGAAGTTACCCTTAGTAAAAGGGCATTTCCATTTGTAAGGGCAATCTCCATTTGTAAGGGTGTTTGCACGTCAGGGGGCCAGGCCTGCTTCTGCCAGCCCTGGAGAAGGCAGGAGCTCACATCTGCATGACAACTTCACCCTGGTGAGCTGAAGGCTTCCCCCAGAGCGGACCCCCCCACACACACACCAGCTTTTGTCTTTCGCTGCAGGTGGTATCTGAGGTGTCGGCTTCCACCATTTTGGCGACTTACACAGTTCTCCCCGGTCTCTCCCCTGGATACGTGTGATTAAACTTTCATTTGTTTTCCTCCTGCTAATCTGCCTCTTGTTGATTTGACTATTAGTCCAACCAGAAGAACCTCGAAGGTTAGAGGAATAATTCTCCCTCCCGACACCTGCTCTAAGTGGTTCCTCTCATCAGAAACATCTGTGGGCGCCATCCTGCCCCCAAAAGGTCCAGGCCGGCGGTAGGCAAACTCATTAGTCAACAGAGCCAAATATCAACAGGCGACGACTGAAATTTCTCTTGAGAGCCAAACTTTTTGAACTTAAACTATGTAGGTAAGTACAGTGTCATTAATTTAATTAGGGTACTCCTACGATGGCCTTTGCTAAAAAACAAAAACAAAAAAACCCTCAAGGGGCCAAAGAGCCGCATGCGGCTCGCGAGCCGCAGTTTGCCGACCACCGGTCCAGGCTAACGGCGTGGCTCCCAAACCCACACGGGGTGCCCTGAAACCAGCCACAAGGAGCAAAGACCATCCAAGGAGCCGCTGGAGGACAGACTCCGGAGCACAAAAACCACCGACGTCACATAGTCATCATGGAATCTAACAGGTGGGTATGTGTTCACTATGCAAGTCTCTCAAAGATTCCGTTTTCCTAACAAAACCCTGGAAACCATGAAAAAAAACACAAAAAAAACAACAACCACAAACTGAAGCAGAAAACCCGGTTCCTAAACACAGGAATCATTTCATCAAAGAAGGCCACACAGCCCAGCACGGAGATAATGAACTCTGCCTTCCGGGGTGAAGGTGATAATGGCCCCACAAGCCGGCTCAGGGCATTCGATCACGTCTGAGCAGTCCTTGTCACAGAAAGGGGGGAAGGGGCCCAGTGCGGCCCACTCCACCTGGCCCCCTTCAGAAGGCGGGGGCCCTGCAGGCAGGTAACCTCCGCGGGACGCTGCGCCCCCCGCATCCGCAGGAGGCAGATGGCAGGGAGGTTCAGCTGTCGGCCGGAGGGCGCGCGCAGATGAAGGCCCGATTCCTCTGTCCCCCTGAGCCCCTGACCCATTTCTCGGTGGGAAACGGAAGCTGCTGCGGTAAGACGAGCCGAGGGGCAGAGAGGCTGTGGCCAACACGGGCGGTTTCACTCGGCGCTCTCTTTTTTTCTTTTTCTCTTCCCCTGGGGAGGGCAGCCAATGGGAACTGCGAAGAGTGACAAAAGGCACCAGAAGATGCATTTAACAGGCAGCCACGTGGTTAATGTGTCAACCACACATGATTTCTTATATATAAAAATAATAATAATAATAAGATGCAGCACCCTGTCTCCATCCCCCACAAGCCGAGGTTCTTCTGCTCAAGTGCGGGGCAGCCACACCAGAGGACGCTCCACAGACCCACAGGTGTTCCAGCAAAGACCAACCTGAGATCCTGGGGCTGGGACACAAGGGCAAGTGGGCAGCGGGCACAAAGGGCCGTGATCGGAGGATGGATGGTCTCGGGATGAACAAACCAACCGCTTAGGGGAGGAGGGGAGAGACCAGGGAGGGCATCAGGGGAGTAGCGCCAAGTGAGGGGTCTGGGCAGCCCTGGCCCCGCTGAGCCAGGAACTGGCTTCTTAAGGTCAGTGCCTTGGACAATGCAAGCTGGAGGCCGGGGACCTCTCCCCGCCGCGCCCCAAACACGCCAGGCTTGTCCTGAGACCCCCCCACCGGGTGGGTTCCTCTGCGGCCCCTCGGCCGTTGGAGGTCTTGGGGCTGCTGTTGGGGGGTGGGGTGGTGTCTGTCTTTCTAACGGGTCACAGAGGCCGCCCGGGCTCCAGGGCCAGGGTCACCCGCTGCGGACATCTCCCGGGCCCGCCGGACAAGGGCTCCGGGTCTGCGGGACACCCGAGCCGGGTGGGAACGGAAAGGGCAACAGGTGCCTTGAAGTTTTCGGCTCCGGGGCCGAGAGGAGCCCGGGCGCCCCCAGCGTCCGGCCGGCTCCCCGGTGGCACTTACGCGCTAATGGGTCCACCGCCGGGCAGAACCGAAACTTTCTGGGGCCAAGCGGAAGACTGCGGGAGCGCGGCGGAGACGGCCATGACACGCAGAGCCCGCCACGAGCCGGTGCGGACTACAACTCCCGGCATGCTCCACGAGCTCCAGGCCTTCAGCGCCCGTCGGACCCCAGGGGCATATGGGCTCAGACTACAACTCCCAGCATGCTCCGCAGCGCTGAGGCTGGCAACTCCTATTTGCCTCTGGCTGTAGGTTAACCTTTTTCCATCTCTGAGGACGCACAGCAACCACCGATGTTGGGATCCTTCTGGAAAGCAGCCCCGCCCATGTGTGACTTTTTGAGAATTTGAAATGTGGCGAGTTTGAGTTGAATTGGGCATGTGTTGTAAGTGCAGAATACACTTGAGTTCAGACACAGTTGGATTAAGACAGCGTTTTTCAACCGCTGTTCCGCGGCACAGATGTTGCCTGGTGTGCCGTAGGTGCAGACAAGACAAGAATTTTATAATTTTTCACTATTTTGTTTACTTAATATTTCATAATAAAGTAATTATAAAATACTTTCTTTGTGTTTATTTGATTCCTATTCAAGAGAATTACTTTATATATAGTCAATATAGGCACAGAGTTAAATTTTTTAACATTTTCTAATGGTGGTGTGCCTCGTGATTTTTTTCATGAAACAAGTGTGCCTTTGCCCAAAAAAGGTTGAAAAACACTGGATTAAGAGATAGGAAAAAGCCCTGGACTTGGAGACAGAGACTTGGGTGTCAGGCCAGAGGAGAGATACGGACAAAAAACTGAGCCAGGGAACATTCATGACAGACTTGGCCTCGGACAATTTTGCCTAAGGCCTAAATGGAGCCAATTTTCCACCATCCTGATTCACACAGGATTTATTTCACACTTTATCTCCAACCCTTCTGTGTCCCTCCCTTCACCCCAATCCTAACCCAGCTTCCCCACCCCCACCGCCATCCCTCCAATAAGAAGAGAACTTTTAGGAATCTTATGTAATGATTTTGGGTAGAGATTTATTTGTGCATATGATACAATGATTTTTTTCCTGTTTTTATTAGATGATTGCAATAGTAATTCATATCAGTCGAGGCCGAATGATTTACAAAGCAAGTACTTTATACACATAACCTCATGTGCACCTCCATGGTCTGAGTAGAACCTGTCTTTGTGTTGTTGATACCATTTTACAAATGAGGACACTGAGGCTCTGAGAGATCCAAGGTCACAGTGAGTGAGTAAAGAGCTTGGATTTGCGGTTTGGGTCCAGGGTTCAAATCCCAAGAGACTGCTTAGCCAGTTTACTTTGGGGGTTCTTTTCTACTGGGCTTTCCATGCTTGTGGGCTTCTTTGTCCCATCAGAGGCAGCTTTCACAAATGAAAGCCACGAGAATTCAACAAACCAGGTGATGCCTGGGCTGGTGTGCTGCGGAGAAGAAGCCATGGAAAGCCTATGAATGGTACCTGGAGTTGATTGGAAGGTGTAATATAAGCAAGAGTCAGGAAGAGAAATGGAAGTAGAAAAAAACACACACACACACACACACATACAACAAAAAGAGAGGCTCTTTATCCACTTACTCTGAAACCATCTCATCTCCTTTCTTAGGTGGGGGGCTATTTCTTCCATAGGTGGTGGGTGATGGCCCCACCTATTGGTTAGCTGGTGCACTACCCAGCCTTCTCCAGCAGGTGTTACTGACCAGTTCTTAAAATTAGACCTTCGCTCTTTGCAGCAAGGTCAATGTCCTCCAAGGCTGGCCTCCTAATGGCAACTAGAGTATTGAAATGATAGCTGGAACTGAAGGGGCAAATGCTTTATAAGCTCTGCAGGCTCCAGCTGAGGGCTGTATTAGTAGTTACTTTACTCAATAAACATGTATTGCGTGCCACAGTGACTCTGCAAAGTCCCGCTCAATGAACTGTGGAAGATTCTGGAATCCCCATTTTCAAGGAGTTGTACCCAATGTTTCTTAATAGGGTACATGTCAGAATCAGCTGGGGAGATTTTCCAAAGGCCCCAATCATCCAGAGCTGAATCAGATTCATAGATTGGGACCAGGTCTGTATGGTCTGGGAAAATTTCATGTCTTAGAACCTTCTGAACTAAGCAATGATAATGAACCCATGAATGAATAAATGAAGGAATAAATGAAGGAATGAATAATAAACTCAGGATCCAAGAAATCTTTTTCTTGATGGCAATATAAACTTTCCAGGCAGGGAGTCCCTTTTCTGCAGTAGGACCTCCTGGGGTAACGCATTTCTTTCACCTCCCACCCCTGCAGCTGTAGCATCCCCAGTGTTATGCCTTCTGCAATGCTCTTTCTTGTACCACTTCTCTTTGCTCCCACTCCATGTCTTCTGTCCATCTCAACCTGCAGCACCAAACTCCCTTTCAATAGAAGGAGGCGCCCTCATAGGGGAGAGCACTGTGGGAGTGAGGTGATGGGGAAGGTAATGACTGGCAGAGCCCAAAGTGTTGGAGCAGACTTTTGAGGTGTCTGCGGAACTTGACCCCGACAAAGACATAGAGCACTGGGTTGACACAGCAGTGGCAGAAGGCAAAATCACGGCAGATGAGCATGGCATAATCCAGCTGCCGGGAGACCTGGCAGCTCTGAATGATATTAAGTTTCAACAGTGTCTGTAGGAAAAGGACCAGGTTGTAGGGAGCCCAGCTGATGAAGTGTGCCAGCACAATGGTGAGGATGAGCCTGACTGTCCGGTGGTGCCGTTTGGACCGAGACCGAGAGCGGAACAGAGTCCTGAGAATCTCCACGTAGCAGAACAGGATAATCCCCATGGAGAGCAGAAAGAAGACAATGTGCTGGTAGACTGAGGCCAGGTACCACTTGACTTCTGAATAATCACATCTTGAAAATCCTGATGGAGATTCTGGATCATGAAACACTTTGTGGAAGATGGCATCAGGGATGGAGGACAGGATGCTGACTGCCCACACAGCTGTGGTCACCAACACGCGGCATTGGAGGGTGTAGACTCTCAGGGATGAGAGGGGGCTCACCACGGACAGGTAGCGATGGATGGTCATGATGGTCAGGAAGAAGATGCTGCTGAAGAGGCTGATGGAGAAGATCATGTTGGAGAGCTTGCAGAAGAAGTCTCCCAGCACCCAGCCCCAGTGGTACACCAAGGCCCACAGAGGCAACAGGAAGGAGAACACCAGGTCTGAGAGGCACAGGTTGAGGATGAAGACATTGGTGAGGGACTCCAGGCTCTCATACTTCACCAGGACCCACAACACCAGAATGTTGCCCACCAGGCTGAGGAAGAACACCAGGCAGTACAGGATGGTGGTGTTGAAGGCTGCAAAGGTGAAGGTCTGAGTGTCACACAAAAAGCTCTGCGAATCATAATCATAAGGGGTGGTAGTCTCTGGGATGCCTGAGGGCTCCATCTAGACATTGAGAGTATCTGAAATGAATAAAGCAAACACTGTCTGAAATAAAGAATATACAGAAACTCAACTGTAGATCAACATACCCCAAGTGTTAAACCAAAGATCTGGAATATGAGGAAACAAAAAACACCCGACCAGAGAGACAGAAAGAAAGAAGAATCCAAAAGTGTGAGGATAGCGTAAGGAGCCTCTGGGACAGCTTTAAGCGCACCAACATCCGGATTTTTGGGGTTCCAGAAAAAGAGAGAGAGCAGGACATCGAAGGCCTATTGAAAGAAATAATAGGGATTCTTAGACTTTGGTGGCCAGCAGAACCACCTCAAAAGCTGATAAATGGGGAGATTCCTGATCCCTCCCTTCAGAGGCTGATTCCATGGGTTGGTGGATAGTGCTTGGAGTAGAACAGTCACATATAACACTTTTCTTTTCCTTATGCTAAAGAAAGTAGAGGTGATTTAACTGGTTATACGTTTGTGACAAAAAACTTTCCCTGCCTGGTAGAAGAAATAGACTTACAAGTTCAGGAAGTGCACAGAACCCCAAACAAGAGGAATCAAAGAGGACCACACCAAGACACATTATAATTAAAATGCCAAGGGGCAAAAGACAAAGAGAGAATCTTGAAAGCAGTAAGAGAAAAACAATTATAATAGTTACCTACAAGTGAGTACCCATACGACTGTCAGCTGATTTCTCAACAGAAACTATGCAGGCCAGAAGGGAGTGGCAAGAAATGTTCAAAGTGATGAACAGCAAGAACCTACAAGCAAGATTACTCTACCCAGCAAAGCTATCATTCAGAGTTGAAGGTCGGATAAAGGAGTTCATCACCACCAAACCAGGATTACATGAAATGCTGAAGGGTATTGTTTAAGAAGAGGAAGAAGTAGAAGAAGGCAAAAGAGGGCAATTGGGGGTGATCAAGCTTTCAGGGGAGGGAAATAGGGGTGACCAGACTGGCAGAGGAGGGAAGTTGGGGGCAAACAGGCTGCATGGGAGTGGTTAGGGGGTGATCAGGCTGGCAGGCAGAAGCAGTTAGGGGCAATCAGGAAGACAGGCAGGTGAGCAGTTGGGAGCCAGCAGTCCTGAATTGTGAGAGGGATGTCCAATGTCCAATGGGCAGTTGGACATCCCTTGAGGGATCCCAGATTGGAGAGGGTACAGGCTGGGCTGAGGGATACCCCTCGGCCCCCATGCACGAATTTCATGCACCAGGCCTCTAGTTTAAAACAAAATATATTTTACTTAAAAACAAACAAACAAACAAACAAACAAACGTATAACCAGTTAAATCACCTCTACTTTCTTTAGCATAAGGAAAAGAAAAGTGTTATATGTGACCATTCTACTCCAAGCACCATCCACCGACCCATGGAATTAGCCTCTGGAGGGAGGGATCAGGAATCTCCCCATTTATCAGCTTTTGAGGTGGTTCTGCTGGCCACCAAAGTCTAAGAATCCCTGTTAAAATGAGAGGAAAATGTAACTTTAAAAGGAACTCACCTGTACCTCTTTCCATGCGTCTTGAGGCAGAAATGGTGCTTCTCATATTTTGCTCAGAGAAACTAAAGGCAGAAATGGTGCTTCTTATATTTTGCCCAGTAGTCTGGAGGAAGGTGGGAGATGGAGTCTTGACTAATCCCTCCCCTTCCCACCATGGGGCTTCCTACCTGGAGTCTATCAAGGGTAGGTTTGGGTAATTTTGGAGTTAGAAGGAATGTGAAAGGATAATGCATTATTTATTTATTTATTTATTTATTTATTTATTTATTTATTTTCAAATATATATATTTGATTAATCTCTTGTGTTTACTTCCAAAGTTTCTCTTTGCAAATTCAACCAGTTTATTTTTGCATGAAATCATGATCTAGAGAGTATCTGCCTCCTCAAAGAGTTACCCAAATGATCTTGCTTTTCTATTTGTTTTCTACAGAAGTTTTTATTGTTAGTATAATACTCCAAACTTCCCCCTCTGGCCAACTAGTCCTTTTGTTCATTTGGTAGAATCTGTAGCAGATAAGACATCTGGACCTTGGAGTGGGAGCAAGAGAGCTCCTCCTAAGTTGTATCCCTAGGTGCTCTCTGAAGTGGGGCGTGATGGAACTTCTGGGGGTGATAAAAACTTTGCTATCTTGTTGTGATGTGGCAATAGAGATATGGAAAATATTACCAATGTGTGCTCTTCATCAAATACTTACAAAGGCAAGGTTCTGGGTGACTATCCATGTATTTGATACTTTAAGAAGCCTTACTCAATCTAAGGTAAATAATGACATTGGCTGCTGGTTCTCCATTGTCCTAGAGAAAGTGAGCAAAGATGGTCTCAGGGTTTCAGATTGCCAGCTCAAGTTCTGCATGAGTGACTCGAAAATTTCTATATCTGTCTTTAAAGAAATCCTTCTCGCCGAAACCGGTTTGGCTCAGTGGATAGAGCATTGGTCTGCGGACTGGGGGTCTCAGGTTCGATTCCGGTCGGAGGCATGTACATTGGTTGCTGGCACATCCCCAGTGGGGGGCGTGCGGGAGGTGGCTGGTTGGTGTTTCTCTCTCATTGATGTTTCTAGCTCTCTATCCCTCTCCCTTCCTCTCTGTAGAAAATCAATTATTATATATATATGAAATCCTCCTCCTGTGGCTAGATTTCTGGAAACCAAACCACCTCTCAATCTGCAGTGGCCAAATCATAATGCAAACCAAATCTACAGCCTTGCAGGGTATCTTCTGTTAAAGTGAGGGCATTGGGAAAAAGAGATCCTGAAAATTGGGACAGGAATGTATGGGAAGATCCCAAGGAAGCTGGGGGTATAGAACCCCTCCGTGGCCAATAGAAACAGCCCTTCCACCTCTGTGGCCCACCAAGCCATCATCGAACGGAGGTGTTATACACAAGACAGGACCAAGCAGGCCCTGAAAGCACAGGTAAGTTACATGAGGGAGTGACCCAAATGCCCACGGCCCCTGCTCTTGCTACACTGCCTTCTTACGCCCAGCCACACACCTGTGACCTCATGAGGAATTCCCTGTGTCCAGTTGAATGAGGAGGAGAAAAACTCATGTCTGTTTTGCAGATGCTTCTGCAAGATCTGCAGACACCTCCCAAAAGGGGTCCCCTGGAGAGGCACTGCAGCTTCCTGCTGGACACCCCTGAAGGGCAGTGGTGAAGGGGACTCCTCCCCACAAGCAGACCTTGGAGCACTGCTCCTGCTTGTTCACTTGCTTGGGAAGAGCAATGGGTACCCCCGCGCTCAGTCTTACTATTTCTAGACAGTGCCTGGGTCCAGGCCCACCCATTGCAGCCTGTGCACATCACGTTTGTGAGTTGATTTCGGACGGGAAATCTTAGTTCCCCGATCCCCAGTTTGGGGTATAGAGTGGAGAGGACTCTCACTTTTATTTTTTATTTTATTTATTTATTTTTATTTATTTATTTATTTATTTATTTTTAAATAAATCTTTATTGTTCAGATTATTACAAATGTGATCCTCTTCTCCCCCTCAATTGCTCCCCTTCACCAGGTTCCCACCCCACCCTCTGTCCTTTCCCAATCCCCCGTTGTCCTCATCCATAGGTGCACAGTTTTTCTTCAGTCTCTTCCCGCACCCCCACTCCCCTTTTCCCTGAGAATCGTCAGTCCACTCCCCTTCCATACCTCTGATTCTATTATATTCACCAGTTAATATTGTTCATCAGATTTTTAAATTCCCTTGGTTTTTAGATTCACTTGTTGATAGCTACGTATTTGTTGATCATAATTTTTATCTTTATCTTCTTCCTCTTCCTAAATAACCTCCTTCAGCAATTCATATAATTCTGGTTTGGTGGTGATGAACTCTTTTAGCTTTTTTTTTTTATTTGTGAAGCTCTTTATCTGTCCTTTGATTCTGAGTGATAGCTTTGCTGGGTAGATTATTTTTGGCTGTAGGTTCTTGTTATTCATCACCTTGAATATTTCTTGCCATTCCCGTCTGGCCTGCATAGTTTCTGTTGAGAAATCAGCTGACAATCTTATGGGTGCTCCTTTATAGGTCACTACCTGCTTTTCTCTTGCTGCTTTTAATATTCTCTCTTTGTCTTTTGCTCTTGGAATTTTAATTATGATATGTCTTGGTGTGGTCCTCCTTGGATTCCTTTTGTTTGGGGTTCTGCGGGCTTCCTGGACTTGTAAGTCTATTTCTTTCCCCAGGTGGGGGAAGTTTTCTGTCACTATTTCCTCTAGTACTCTTTCGGTATCTTGCTCTCTCTCTTCTGGAATCCCCATAATTCTGATGTTGGTTCGCTTGAAATTGTCCCAGAGGTTTCTTACACTATCTTCAACTTTCTGGATTCTCTTATCTTCTCCCTTCTGCAGAGAAGTGTCCTCTGGCTCTTTGTGTTCTAAATCTTTGTCTTGATTCTTGCGATCTTCCAGTCTGTTTTTAGGACTTTGTATAATATTTTTTATTTCAGACAATGTTTTCTTCATCTCTTGTTGATCCCTTATTATTTCTAGTTGCTCCCTTTTCATATCCTCATAGGTCTCATTTATTTTATCGGCCTTTATTTAGGATATTGTTGAATAACCTTATAACTGTAGTTTTGAACTCAATGTCCAATCTTTTCTTTTCCTCCATCTCCTTCCTTTGTGTCCTTCTTCTTGTCTGCATTTTAGTTGTTTCCCTGATTTGATGGAATAGCTTTGTGTGCTAGGTGTTCTGGTAGAGCCCAGTAGCACAGCCTTCCCAGTTACCTGCAGTGGACAGTCTTGGTGTAGCCCTTTGTGGGCTGTGTGTGCAGTCTTGTTGTTAAGCCTTGCTTATTGTTGGTATCACTGGGAAGCGTTGATCTCCAAGCCAATTGGCTGTGAGGATCAGCAGTGACTCAGCTAGGAGGGTTTCCGTACTCTGCTTGAATAGGGCGGGGTCTCGGGGTGGCACAGACAATCTTTGGTTCCCTGTCAGTTTCGCCTTAGAAAAGTCCTGTTCGTGGAGAGTTTTGGAAGATTGGTTGCAGGCGTGCGCGCACCTCTTTGGTAAAGGCGCAGACAAGCTTTGGATTCCTGCAAGTCCCTCCTTAGAGAAAGCCAGCCTCTGGCAGAGCTTCTGTGCTCAGCCACAGGTAGGGCGGAGTCTCGGGTTGGTGCAGACAAACTTTGTTTTCCCTTCGGCTCCTCCCCAAGACCCGCAGTAATGGCCTCTGGCTTCACACACCACCAAGAGATCTCTGCCCACTGCCTGACAGTCTGGCCTCTCCCTGTCTGGGGCCGTTTATCAGAGCAATAGGGGGATTCTGTTTTCCTCTCGGACAAGAAAGCCAGCCGCGTTAGCTGTTCGCCCTCTCCGTGCCAGGAGTAAGCCAGTAGCGATCTCAGCCCGGCCCGCCCTCTCTGCGTGCAGGGAGTAAGCCAGCAGCAATCTCGGTCCGGCCCTTCCTCTCCGCACCGGGATTAATCCAGCGCCTTTTCGCGCACACAGTTCTCCATACCTTCACAGTTCCTGAGGTTCAGCGTGCCTTCTCTCTCCTTCCCAGATGGCAGAGCCTCCTCTTAGCCAGCTGTCTGGCGCTTCAGGGCAATGCCTCCCCTGTTTTTCAGTTCTAAATTCAAATTTGTTGTGGTAGGCTGCATTCGGGTGTCTACCCTATGCCGCCATCTTGGTTTCTCTCTCACTTTTACTTCTACAGAACATGTAGCTTGCATTTCCCATTTCTAGTAAAAAAAGGGAAGGGTACCTGGTCATCCTTCACTTTCACTTGGCCAAAGTCCAACTACCCATGAGCACTGGAGCCTCCAAGATTTATTTATTTATTTTTTTGGTTCGACTTTATTGAGGTATGTATTAGGCAGGATTCTACCAGAAAAAGAGAATCAATAGGATGAAAAAGCAATCCCCCCCCCTCTCTCTGTGTCCCAAAAATGTATACATGCTTTATAGCTGATAGCTCAATTGATCTTTCTTTCTTTTCAGACTTAAGCCATTGGGATTAAGAATTATTCAAAGTGTGTATACATTTTTTGGGCCACCCTGTATGTATGTATGTATATATATATATATATATATATATAGATATATATATATATACACACACATACATACATACATACCTACATGCATATATATGATATTTAGATATATTTATAAATAGGTATTTACATATACTATCAAATCATATATTTATATATAATATAAATTATAAATATATGCAGTTACTATATACATATATATTTATAGATACATTTATGATAACAAGTATGCACACAGTTACAATAACAAAATCATACTTGTTCCTACCACTATCTGGGTACAACTGAGAATGTACTAACCCTTTCCCTAGACAGGTTTCAAAGTTCTTGGGTGATATTCATTCTTTTCCTGGATATCTGGTAACTTGAATACATAATGTACAGTTATTTGTTATATATTACATTAGAGGATAAGAGAAGGAAGACAAATTTATCTGCTTTAATACATACGTAAATAGACATATTCATGGCTAAATAAGGAAGAGATACTTATCACAGTTCTGGTTCACATTTCTGCATTTGGCCACATAGTCATAACTGGTATTAACCACTACCTTCTTTCACTACCCATTCCATACTCTCATTGCCCTCTGCAAGTACTTTATTTTTATTTTTTTAAAGTATATTTTATTGATTTTTTTACAGAGAGGAAGAGAGAGGGATAGAGAGTTAGAAACATCGATGAGAGAGAAACATCGATCAGCTGCTTCTTGCACACCCCTTACTGGGGATGTGCCTGCAACCAAGGTACATGCCCTTGACTGGAATCGAACCTGGGGCTCTTCAGTCTGCAGGCCAATGTTTTATCCACTGAGCCAAACCGGTTCTGGCGCCCTCCACAAGTACTTTAGTTGGTCATGGTTCTTTGCTGATCCAACCCTTCATTCCTAAAACCTGGACCATTAGCATTTCAGCACGTAGGACTAAGAGACACCCCGAGGAGTCACTCATGTTTGAGACATATTCTTTCTTACATCTACTGTGTAGTGGCAGGTCCGTTTCATGCCAGCCTGTGCAGTGAATCCCTCTGTTGCCAGTTGATTCAGAGATAAGAGGACCCAACGTGTCTGGATGGCAGCCTCAGCTTCTAGTTCAGTGGAATCATTGTTGTGTCTCCCTTTGGAACCAAAACCTCAAGATCAGTAGAGCATGTGGGAATTCTGGTTCGGGCGGGAATGAAAGGGTTCTGCTACCTGCCAAACACAGCCACTGGCTAGAGCCACAGGGCGTGTGGGGGGAGTGGCATGCAGCCTCAGTGTGCACTGGACGCAGCTGGGACCCTGGGTCAGGGTGTGGGGAAGACAAGGAACAACGGTGAAGCGCCCTCACCTAGCAGAGTGGGCAGAGGAAAGCCACTGCAGCGGCTGGTGAGACCTACAGCCCGGAGAAGGCTGCTAGACCTGGGACCTGGCCTTTGGCTGAGGAATAAGTCACTTCCAGCCGTAGCTGGAAGGGACCCAGAGGAATACACGCTCCAACCTCTTTCTCCTCCCCATTCCAACCCACCCAACTCCTGCTGGTACCTTCCCCTGGCACCAGCAAGGAGGCGAGGGTGCCTGTGATACAGCCCGTTCATGGGAGCACGGGGCAGGTGGAGAAGATGCCAGTTCAGAGCAATGGGAGATCCATTCCCAACCTGCCCCATCCAGTGCACGCTTCCCTTCCCACGCTGTCCCTCTGCCTGAAGGCTCTCCTGGCTACCCTCCCCCAGTTCATTCCTCCTCCTCCTCCTAGGCTTAACCTTCCCCCTCCTGAATATGTCAGGCTCTTGTGTTGATTGTGGTTTTTTGCACCGTGTCATTCTTCAATGCACAGCTCTTCTTACAACAACATTTTTATCCAATAATGACTTACTGAACAATCATAATGCCAGCAGCCAACATGTGCTGAGCACGGATGCCAGACACGGTTGCTATTTGTTAGACGGTTGTCTAGAACAGCGGTCGGCAAACTCGTTAGTCAACAGAGCCAAATATCAACAGTACAACAATTGAAATTCTTTTGGAGAGCCACATTTTTACACTTCAACTTCTTCTAACGCCACTTCTTCAAAAAACACTTGCCAAGCCAAAACTGGTTTGGCTCAGCGGATAGAGCGTCGGTCTGCGGACTGAAAGGTCCCAGGTTCGATTCCGGTCCAGGGCATGTACATTGGTTGCGGACACATCCCTGGTAGGGGGTGTGCAGGAGGCAGCTGGTCAATGTTTCTCTCTCATCGGCATTTCTAGCTCTCTATCTCTCTCCCTTCCTCTCTGTAAAAAATCAATAAAATATATTTTTTAAAAAATACACTCGCCCAGGTCGTGGTATTTTGTGGAAGAGCCACACTCAAGAGCTGCATGTGGTTCGTGAGCCGCAGTTTGCCGACCATTAGTCTAGAATGTAAGCTGGTCTTGGTGATCTGCTTGACCAATAGAACCCAGTGCAGGGGACATCCTGGGATTTCTAGGTCATAAGAAGTCTGCAGCCTTCAGAATGTCTTGGGACATTCTAATTGGGAGCCCTGAACCACTATTCTTTTTTTATTATTATTATTTTTTTCAATCTCCATCCGAGGATATTTTTTTCCCATTGATTTTTAGAGAGAATGGAAGGGAGGGAGGGGAAACATTAATATGAGAGAGATACATTGATTGGTTGCCTCCTGAACTGCTCCTACCTGGCTGGGGATGGGCTTGCCTGAATCGAACATGTGACCCTTCAGTCTATAGGCTGATGCTCTATCTACTGAGCCAAACCAGCTGAGGTTGAACCACCACTTTTGAAGTCCACCACCATGAGGCTGCCATGCTGGTAAGACCTCCTGAGAGCTTCTGGGCCCAGCTTACCTGTCTCCTCTGCCAAAAGCCATCCACCAACTCGGTAGCACCAAGGTACCTCCATTGATAACACACACACACACACACACACACACACACACACACACACACACTCACCAGCTGAGTACCGCTCAAGTTCTTGAGACACAAAATTATGAGAAATAAAGAAATGGTGCTCATTTTAAGCTTCTGTTCGGGTGCTTTATGAGACAGCATACAGACCGTGTAAGATTGCTTAGGGAGAAATCCCAGCCTATTTTTCCATCCCGCCTTCAGCCATCCCACACTCTCAGATAAACATCAGCACCCGGAGGAGGAGTTTCGTGAACTCTCCGCAGCTTCCCTTTAATGTGGCTTGAAAGCTGGTGCGCTCTCTACTCAGCTTCCACCTGCAGCACAGCCGGGAAATCCCCCAAGAGACAGCTGAGTTGCTCTGGGCCCCCTGCCAAGTCTTCACATGGCACCCCTTAAGACTGAGAACAAGGTGAAGATGTCAGCTATCAATACTCTTATTCAATCTAGTGCTGGAAGTCCCAGACAGCTTAATAAGCAGGCGGGGGGGGGGGGGGGGGATACTGATTGGAAAGGAAGAAATAAAACTGTCCCTGTTTGGAGACGGCATGATGGCCTACATAGAAAATGCCAAAGAATATTTAAAAAAACGACAAAAACAAAAAACTGAAACGATTCCTAGAATAATAAGCAAAGCTGTGGATACAAGAGCAACATGTAAAAGTCAATTGCATTTCTATGCAGCAGCAATAGAAGTGTGGAAAGCAAAGTTAATATACAATTCATGTATAATATTTCTCCCAAGAAAGAAATACTTATGCATAAATCACCAAAACGTGTACAAAACAGGTATGCTGAAACCTCAAAATGCTGATAAACCAAAGGACATCTACATAAAGGGAGAAACATACCATTTTCATGGGTTGGAAGATTCATCAGAGTCAACATACAAGAGACATCCTTGCCTTGTTCTGGGCTGTCCTCTAAAAAACCAGAACACACACTATATGATCCCACAATTGCACTGGTAGGCATTTATGACAAAGAAACAAAAATTCATGTTTTCAAAAAAACTATGCATGATGTTTATAAAAACATTAATTATTCTTAACAGCCCCAACCTGGAAACAACCAAAATGTCTCTTAACGAATGAATGGCTAAATTCCATGTCATGGGCTACTACTGAGGGGTTTTATGATTAGTAACCCCCCCCCAAGCCTCCCCCCCCCCAAAAAAAGCTCTCTCAAAAGGTCACGTACTGGGCAATGTCATTTACATAACATTCTTGAAATGACAAAACCATGGAGATGGTAGGTAGGCTTGGTTGCCGGGGTTAGGGATGGCGGGGGCAGGTGTGACTACAGAGGTAGCAGGAGGCAAGTCACGGAATAGCGGTGAATTTAAGTCTGGAAGGATTGGGTGTATGCAAATTAAAGCTGTCGGATGTCATTTTTTTACCCATGTGTTTGGCAAAAACTAGAAAGTCAGATTGTTAGGACGAAACACTCCTAATCTCTCCTACTTGGCCATGTTTTCTGGGATATATTTTGTGAGAAGCCTTTTCCCATAGCTCGGGGCAGACGGCTGGCTCCTGCAGAAGCAAGATAAGACGGAATCCCCCTTCGCCTACTGATCTGTGACCTCTCCCCCCTTAATTCCCTTGACCCACTTGTGCCGGCCCCTGCCATTCCCCCGCTTGACTGACGGGCGCTGCCACAACCTGACCCGATGTTGCATACTTTTACCCTAGATCAGAGAACCCAGCCATCCCACACACTGGTCTCAGCCCGCTGTGAGAGAGCGCCATAAAATTTCTTAAAAACTCTCATAACTCCTCTTGGCCTGGCTGCTTTCTGGGGACCTACCACAGATCATCTTGAGGGCTGACAAGGCTGGGAAAAGAGGCCCCTCAAGGCAATCTTATGTGAGTGTGAATTGGTACAGCGCAGTGGTCAGCAAACTCATTAGTCAACAGAGCCAAATATCAACAGTACGACGATTGAAATTTTTTTTGAGAGCCGAAAACTGACTTCTGCACATGGGACACGAAGTTTCAATCTCACCGTATGTGCACGCCCATACCTGGTATTTTGTGGAAGAGCCACACTCAAGGGGCCAAAGACTTGCATGTGGCTCGAGAGCCGCAGTTTGCCGATCACCAGTATAGCGTCCTGAAGACAGGCTGGGACAATGCAAGGCTGCCCATGCCCTCTGACTGGGCAGCTCCTCTCTTAGGCTGCACACCCAGAGAAACGTGGCTGGGATCACCAGGAGACAGTGGGAAGATGCTCAGGGGAGTGTGGTTGGTTGCAAAGTCTGGAGTGTCTGTCCCTACAGAATGGACACATAAAACGTTGATACATGGACACGCAGGAAGACAAAACAGAAATCAGAACTACATTTACTACAGCTGCATGGGTCTAGCTCAAACAAAAACATCATGCTGCCCTGGCTGGTTTGGCTCAGTGGCTAGCGCGTCGGCCTGCAGACTGCAGGGTATCGGGTTTGATTCCGGTCAAGGGCACATGCCTGGTTGTAGCTCGATCCTTAGGAGGGGGCCAATCAATGTTTCTCTTTCATTATTGATGTTTCTCTCTCTCTCTTTCTCCCCCTCTCCCTTCCTCTCTGAAATCAATAAGAATATATTTAAAAACAAAAGCATCAAGCTGAATAATAATAATAATAAAAGCATCCCAAATGATATTTGATGGCACAGAGTCACTTTTGTAAACTAAATGCACACGCGCTGGAGTTTTCAAGAACATAAATACGTATTCCTCTTGGCACAGACCGCCAATGACTGCGGCAGGCCACGGTGAGAACATTCCATTCAATTCTGTGCAAAAATGTTCCAGGCATGATACTGGGGACTGATGGGTCAGGTTTGGGAACCAGAACAACCTCTTCTGAATGGGTGGCTTTCAATCTGGGCTCCACACCAACTCACTCAGGAAGTTTGAAAACACTGATGTCTGGGTCTCATAGCCGGAGGTTTCAGTTTGATTGACATGGAGGGTGGGCCTGCACTGCCAGGATTTTACAAAGTCACTCCCCTCCTCCCTCCTACCCCCGCCCCTCCCCACCCATCTCCTTCTCACCCCAATGATTCCAGGCACAGCGAGATTGGGCACCACCGCCCAGGGCTCAGATTTCATATGCCAACCAATTGCTCTGGGGAATCCTGTCATTTAGGCAAGCACTGATGACACTTGGGTCCTCAGCTTTGAAACGGGAGACAAAGGCCTTGCAGGCTTGAATGGCGTGATGGGATGTTGGTCACTGACTGCCCCTTAGAGGCGGCTCCACAAACCGCAGCCATTATTATTATTTAAATGAGAAGATCATTGAATTCATCAAAGTTAGAAGAGAGAACTGTGAATCCTGATACACCCACATTTTTTTCTGGGAAAGAGGGAGTCCTAATACCAGGGCTGAACCCCCCTGGTCCTGAGTCCCACCAGGTCAGGAAGGAAGCTGGCCTTGTTGGCAGCTTCCATTTGAAGACGCTGGAGAAATACGTGGCTGGCCACTGCCCTCTACTGAAACAATACTGCCATTTCTATGTGGAACAGACTTGTCCTGTGATTGCACTTGAATGCCAACTCATTGGGGATGAGGCTGGATCCTGTGTGAGCACTCACAGAAAATGTTGTCCTTCTAAAGAAATCCCTGTAATTATAAGAGGGAAGCCATGGCACTTTCTTATTTCTGTTCTCAGCATTTGACACATGCTATTGGGAAAGAAAGAATCTATTGTCACAAACACAACTCATCACACAGCAGACCCAAGGGCAGGTGCTATGATCTCCTCTGTTATCCAGATGAGGACTCTGAGGCCGGGAAGGTAAGTCACACAGCCAGCAAGCAGCGAAGCTGGCTCCCGAGTCTATTCCTAACGCCGCTGCTATATTGCGTCTTGAATGCCTCTGGCTCCTTTGACTTGATGACGCCAGTTGTTCTGCAGCCCGAATTATTGTCCAAATATGTTTTCTCTGCTCAACACATCCTTGTCTGTGCCCCATTCCCCTGTGACACATTCCCTCGCTTCCCAGCAGTGAGTCTGCATCAGTTCTCGCTCCCAAATCCCTCAGGAATTTGGCTGTGACCTGCGTCTCTGATTGGCCCGTGCTCTCCCCAGATGCCCTCACAGATGCCCGCATTATACACGCTCAATCAAGGAACTGAGACCTTTACTCGATGTCATGAAATCCCATGATGCTGGAGGAAGCCAAATGAGTTCATGACCTCTCTGAGACACTCCTTCCCCTACCTTTACGCTCTGGCTGGACTGAGCCACCGGAGCCCCCAACTCATCAGTCTTTTCTATGCTTTCAGGTGTTAGACTCATTTAAATCCTTTGGTCTCTCCTGTACTTTCCGCTTTGTCCACCAGGGGGAGTCTTCTGCTCTTAAAGCCTTGATTTCTCCTTTGCACAGGTCAGCTATTGAGTGCTGGAAGTGTGGCTGGTCCGAATTGAGTTGTGCTTATGCACAAACTATACGCCAAATATTGAAAAATTAGTATGTCGTGTGGAATTTAAAATATCTTAAGAAACTTAATAAATTGGTTATATGTTGAAAGATACTATTAATAGTAATTCTACCTATTTGTTTTTAGATTTTTAAAAATGTGGCTACTAAAAAATTTTAAAATTGTACATGTGGCTCGCTTTATATTTCTATTGGACAGCACTGGTTTAGAGGCTCCCTCCCAATGGCAAACTCTAAGGTAGGCCTGCAGAACCCCAGGGTTCCAGGGAACCCAGTCTGAATACCATTTGCTTGACCTGACGCATGAAGAAACCGAGGCCCAGATTGGCCAACAATTTTCCCAAGGATATCAAAGTGATGGAATCTAGAGTTTAGATTAGAATCCAGGTGTCCTGGATTTTTCCTCTTCTACCATGGAAGTCCTCGAATGCCACACAAGGTAACGGACATAAGACCCTTTGCTGGGCTGTTGAGGTCCTTTATCAAGAAATGTCACCTTGGGTCTCTCCCTGCTTCCTTCCACAGGTCTGCACAGCCAAGGGGCTGTTCCCTGCCGCATCCTATGCCCATCCTGTGAGCATTTCTCCACTGCCTGCTGCCAATCCCAGCCCCTGCTTTAGGCCTCTATCCGGTGCTCCCTCCAGAGCGCCGATAGCTGAACTTGAGACCCTGAAGACAAGCAGCAACTGTTTACCCTTTGTCTTAAACCACCCTCTTGACCTGCCCAAACCCAGTTCTATGCAGGGGGTTGGGGGGAGCATAGTGGCTCTTGCTGGAATAAGTCCCATTTAGCTGAAAGGATGAAGAAACAGCCGGATAGACTTGCCCCATTCTGACCGCATGACCAACCTACACTGTCACCCCTGAGAGCTCACGTAGGCCACAGGCACAGCCTACGGCAGGGTGACCGGTTACCATGTGGCCAGTGACTCACATGGGAACTGAAAGCACCCCTCACTGGAGTGACTTCTCTAAAGAGGACACCTGAGTCAGCAGTGAGGGCACCGGAGACCAGGCCAGACCCTGAATTCGCGTCAGGGCTCTTAGGCCCTAATCCCCCCCCCCCCCCCCCCCACACACCTGTGCCACAGCCCAGCAGGATGGCAGCATCGTGGCTCAGCAGTTGTGTTCTTAGTGGTCAGGGCTGAGGCCCAGAACATGTGTATGTGGGTTTGTCCAGGTAAGAAGGTCCAGATGCTGCCTTGTTTCTCCTCGTCACGGAGGCCCCATGCAATGGGGGCCAAGGGTCTCGGCCACGCTCTGGGTCTGCGGCCTGAGTGTGGCAGGGTTGCTTGGGCCATCACTGCTCCATGCCTGCAGCCTCATCTCTCCGTTTTCTGGGCCTAAATTACCGAATGGCTGAGTCATGGGCTAACAGAACCTGTCTGTATGAGTCAGCAGTCGCAAGGTGAGGGAGCTCTTCCCAGTTCCAGCTGTGCCACTTTGGACTAGTCACTGTATGTCTCTGAGCCTCAGCTTCTCACTTGTAACTACTTATTACTTTTTAAAAAATTCCTTTAAAATTTAGTAGTTTAGCCTGGCCGGCGTGGCTCAGTGGTTGAGCATCGGCTTATGAACCAGGAGATCATAGTTAGATTCTTAGTCAGGGCACATGTCCGGGTTGTGGGCTCAGTCACCAGTGGGGGGCATACAGGAGGCAGCTGAACAATGTTTTTCTCTCATCATTGATGTTTCTAGCTCTCTCCCTCTCCTTTCCTTTCTGAAATCATATATGTATATATATGATTATATGATTTAATACATATATTTAATAAAGATTTAATAAAGATTTAAATAATAAACACTTGTTATCTCAAACACTTATTATTTCTTAGGCCAGGAATTTAGGAACAACTCAGTTGTGCAGTTTTGGCCCATGATCTTTCATGAGATGGGGTCAAGGTGTCTGCTGGGGCCCCAGTCATCTGAAGGCTGGACTGGGGCTGGAGGATCTGCTTACTGACAGCTCACTCACATGGCTATTGGCAGGAGTCTCTCCATGGGGTTGCTTGAGGGTCCTTCTGACATGGTAGCTGGCCTTTCCCAGAGTGAGCAATCTGAGAGAGCAAGACAGAAGCCACACTCAATTGTGAAATAGCCTCTAAAGTTAAACTCTATCCCATTTGTTACCCAAGTCAACCTGTTGAAGGTTGTGAGTACCAGGAGGTACAAACTATTGGGAGCCATCTTGAAGTCTGGCTACCATGATAGTGTTAATAACATTTGCTCTGCTCGCCTCACAGAGCCATCATAAGTTTTGTTTGTATAACTTCAAGAAAATCCATTAATCAAAGGTGCTTCTGCTAAGGGTCAAGACAGCAGCTGCTAAAAACAGCTGTACTAGGGGCTGCTGGGGCTGGGCCCTGAGACCATCAGAGGAGCACAGGAGGGCCAAGGAGGAAACTTGGTAGCTCAGAGGCCTCCAGCCCTCTTTGCTGTCCCCATGTGAAGGTACAGAGTGGAGATGATTAGGAAGTTGGCCTATTTCATATGGGTGCTCACTGAAGGGAAGTTCTGCTTATCCGTAAAAGTTCTCTTTCCAAGGAAAACAGGTGGGCAAGGTTCAGGAATTCCAGGAGGGGGACTGAATAAAGATGGGGCTTGAATTGTGTCCTAGCCCTTGGTTCTGACCTTCAAATGAGTTCATTTGCCCTCCCCAAACTCCAAAGATCTGCCTAAATGAGAAGGTCATTGTTATGACCTTGTGGCAAGACTCACCCAGGTCATTCCTCAAAGAATCTCTCCTGACTTCGTAAGTAGCCATAAAGAAAGAATAAGAATATTTTCAATGCTTTGCAACTATCAGAAACAACTTCTCAAAGTTGAGTCTAAATCTTTCCGAGTTCACTTATGTCCACTCCACTCTAAGGATAGCCTAGGTACGACTGATGCATAACCAATCACTCTGAAACATAAGGGTGAAAGGCGGCAATCATCTTCTTTTGCTCTTGATACTCTGGGTTAGGAATTCTGGACAGGCTTGGCGGGACTATCTGTGGGATGTCTCATGGAGCTGCGATAGGATGTCAGCTGAGGGTTCAGTCATCTGAAGGTCAGCCTGGGCTGGAGGCCCAAGGTGGCGCACACTCACTGTGGGTAGCTGGTGCTGGCTCTGGGCTGGAAGCTCAGCTGAGCTGTCCACACGAATGCCTTGCCAGGGCCTCTCCAGCAAGGCTGTCTCAGAGTAGCTGGGTTTCTTATATGGCGCTGGATTCCCCTGCAGCTGGTGTTTTTAGAGAACCAACTGGACTCTGTATGGCCTTTTCAGTGTCACTTGACCTACAGTTTATTAGGTATAAGCTACTGTGGCCCGCTGGGTCCAGGCGAGTCATCAGGCTAGCGTAGATTCAAGGGGCTGAGAATTAGACTCTGTCTCCTGATGGCGGAGTGGCAAGGTTCCACTGCAGATGGGTGCGTGGGATGGAGAAGTAGCTGGGGTCATCTCTGGGAAGTACCATCTTCCACAAACTACTAGAATAATTTCCTACACTCGAAGGCCTGCATTGAGTAATCCATGAACATCTCATTGCATAGAGTCTAAGACCACTTAAAGATTCTCTAGAATAATCTTTGTTATTAGATGAGACCTCGAGAGCAGAAGTGGCTTCCCCCAGCTCACACAGCTGGTCAGAGGATTAGTAGAAAGAACCTAAGTCAGCCACCCACTTGCACTTCATCTGCCCTTGGTATCATTTCCTTCCTTCTTCCTAACAGAAGAATAATTTTGTGCAGGCATCTATTCTGCCCACATGGTCCATAGCCCCAAAGAGAGCTGAGCCTGCAATGTCGCTCATGGCAGGATGAAGCCTGCAGATGAAGCCACCGTCCCATGACAGAGTAGAAAAAAGTCACCAAAAAGTGGAGTTGGAGCCACTGTATAGATCAGCCATAAGCCTGCTCTACTGTCCTTTCAGTTGTGAGTCAATGATCTCCTTTTTGTTAAAGTCACTTTTAGTTCAGCTTCTGGTTACGTGCAGCTAAATGCCTCCTAATTAAAATACTCCTTCTGCCTGGCCAGCATGGCTCAATGGTTGAGCATCAACCTACCAATCAGGAGGTCATGGTTCAATTCGTGGTCAGGGCACGTGCCTGGGTTTCGGCTGGATCCCCAGTGTGGGACATGCAGGAGGCAACTGATCAACGATTCTCTCTCATCATTGATGTTTCTCTCTCTCTCTCCCTCTCCCTTCCTCTCTGAAATCAATTAAAAAATGAAAAATAAAAACCTTCTGTTTCTGGCATTAGCCCTGACCTTAGGAAGGAACCTTCAGAGAGATTTAGCTTACATGCCAGGCCTACGCCTCAGGAGTGGCCATTGTGCCCCGACCTGACATTTTCTCTCGCTCTCTGTCCCTAACCTCCACCTGTCACGGGTTCAGTCCCTCCAGAACCCACTCTTATTGCTCCCATTATCCTCAGTTACTGCTCAGGGTTGGAGTCCTCTGCTCTTCCCAAATCTCACTCCAGTGGCTACAGCCATATAACCTACTGTTGTCTCAGATGCCCTTCTACCCACACTGGCCACCTTCCTGAATTTGGAAGGCTCTGTGGTTGGAGTCCTCTTTCTTGAGTTGAGTTCTGCACCACTGGGTGCATGGCTGGCTGGCCACCAGCACCGGATGCTCACTTGGTTTCCGTGTGTTGTACTGTGCAGATGCTGGACACTCTACCCCTGCAGATGGACAGAACCTCCTCCCTCCTCTGCCCCTCCTTTTGTGTCTCCTCCAGGACATCCCCTTGTAGATCTTCCTGTTGGACACTTTGGGGGAAATGCTTGAATTGGGAGATACAACATCCCGTAGTTACACCTTCAACATCTACACCTTCGCAGAACAGAGTCAGTCATGTCTCACAGGGCAGAATGCTCATTTGTATACTGTTCACGTTTTATCATATTTCTCTCCTGCTGGTTGGAGAATGAGGTCATATGAGATTGTGAAAGCAGAATAAGTAGTCTCTGCCTCCGATAAGATTTGGAATGAAGTACTAGGTGTGCATAAAGAAACATGCAGAAAGCCATCTACATCAGTTCTCACTACGATATGTTCATCTTCGCTTGAGGTCTCTGTGTTCATCCTCACCACCTCTCTGTGGCCCCAAAGGATTTCCTTGCACTTCAAAGGATTTCCTGCTTGCTAACAAATATCAGGCTTTGGGGGCAGAATTCATTTTGAGACTTGCTCTCCTGGTGACCCGGAGTGAGGTTTAGGGGCAGTGGGGGGAAGAGAGGGAGGAGGTACACACTCATTAATGAGCAGTGGGGAATTTGCTAAAGATTTCAGGGGCTTGTGGGGGCAGTCAGGGGGGAGGGAAGCAGGGCAAGTTAATCTCACACATATGTGTCCAGCAGGTTTGTTGAGACCTTCCTCTGAGCTGTGGAGGCAACTCTTTTCTCTTCCTTGTCTTTTTGACCTCAGCACCAGTCTTCCTCTTCCTCCTCCCTCCTTTGTGCTCCAGAAAAGTCCCTTCCTTCTGCAGAAAACGTAGGAGGGGTTCAAAGTAGAGGCTGGAAACTCCCTTTCCACCCTTTGAAAAGTAGACTTCTCAAAGCCCTTTCTTCTCTCTTTTTTATTTAAAAAAATATATTTTATTGATTTTTTACAGAGAGGGAGAGAGAGGCATAGAGAGTTAGAAACATTGATGAGCGAGAATCATCGGTCAGCTGCCTCTTGCACACTCCCTACTGGGGATGTGCCCGCAACCATGGTACTTGCCCTTGACCGGAATCGAACCTGGGACCTTTCAGTCCGCAGGCCGACGCTCTATTCATTGAGCCAAACCGGTTTTGGCAAGACCCTTTCTTCTCAAAGAAACTTTCATGCCAGCAGCTACAGAGATGTTTCTCCATAGTCTTTGCAATTATCTTTAACATGGTGGTCAGTGCTGTCGCTAGAGTGAGGCATCAGGAGTTTCAATCTCTTTGCTTTTCCTTGGGGTGGTCAGATGAATCCAACCCGAGGACCACCCATGCCCAGAGACCTCAGAATTCCAGTGCAGTTGGTCTGTGGCTACTGTGCCTGGCAGACACCCCTACTTGGGGCTGCAGGTTGCCTTGACCTCTGAACTTGCCCACTGCCAGATCAGGCATATTGCAAATCAATTAAGGCCTGAGAAGTGATTTGGGTGTCTTGCTTTTAAAAGTCATATTGTCAGGCAAGGTGCCATTCTGGTCATCCTCTTCAGGAACTATTTCTGCCTTCTGAGGAGGACTTCTGCCCCCAGGACCTGAGACTAATCCTGTCCTCTTGGTGCTAGCTGGGGCCCACGTCCTGACTGCATTCTCCTCTCCCACCTGTCCTCAGGCCCTACTGTGTGCACCGTGGCTCACTGCTCAGTGGTCTCCAGAAAGGCCTCACACATTCAGAGCCTCAGGGAGGCCTGTGTGTCAAGTGTTCAGTGTTTGTTTACATACCCAGCTTCACATCTCATCTATATTGATGTATTTCTACGCTGACTTACCGGAGCTTGTGGTCTCAGCAAACAGGACCTCTCAATTTCTATTAGCACTTTCCACACAGAGGAAGCCAGATAGCATCGCTTCCATGTACCGATGGCTTGTTTTCATCTCTGATCAAGAGGCTGAAGCAGCAGATTCTCATGAAGTTTTCTCCTTTGCCTGAGGACAGATGATGAAGCGTCTTGGGTTTAGCTATTTCATATGGAGAATGGGATCATTGTTAAAACACTGTTTGATCCTCACCTCCCACAGGACTGCCCTGGACCTGCAGCAAAGACTTCTGAGTGTCTCACATTCCTTAAGAGAAGGGAGTTTTCCAAGAGGACACCTAGTGGGAGAGCAGAGAGCAGGAGTGAGAACTGTCTGTTGTCACAGGTGGTTTAGGGTGTATCCATGCTCTTGAATGCTTTCATGGGCCTCATGGCTGTGACTCTTTCCACCTGTCACCCTCCATCTCCTCTTACTCTCAATAACTAATGATCTCTGGTTTCTTCAGGCTCAGACTCCAGATAGAGCTGGTCTGACCAGCAGAGACTGGACATGCCCTCTCCTATTCATTCTCTTTCAAAATAATAGAACTTCTAATTTTTAACTAGGCACAGAATACAGGATGGGGCAAAAGCAGGTTTATGGTTGTTTGTGTGGAAAATAATACAATAATTAATAAGTAATAAACTGTGTT